TCTTAATTTAGTTTATAACTCCACTGAACAAAGATTACATCAAGACTCAATCACAAAGAAAACTCCTAACACATAAACTCTGCAAAAGGATGAGGTTCTTTGATGTGTTCCTTCTATGTATTCCTTTAGTTCGATGGTAGCACTTGCGAAATCAATTTTTCAATTGCTCTGTAAATGCACAAGTATTCTGGACGACTTCACCTCTATTTAAGAGGAATTCTTCATAGAGCTATTGTTCACTTCAAACTCCTCATTGACTTGAACTCTCTTGACTTAGAGTTCTACTTCAAGTAAGAATTTTTCTTCAATTCAAACTCCTTGCTTCTTTAGACCCCTTCTTCAAATCAAATTCATTGATTCTTTTGTATTGTAGTCGAACTCCAACTCTTCAATTCAAGAGTAACTTGAAGAATTCTACTTCAAATAAGGCTCCTTCTTGAATTAAAACTTCTTACCTCTTTAGACTCCTTCTTCAAATCAAACTCATTGATTCTTTTTCTTCAATTCATCACTTGTTTGATTCCTTGTGTTTTATCACGAAATTAACATTATTCATTTCTTTATTTCTTCACTCTTGTTTTTATTTATTTTGCAAGCTTTCCTGAGTTCAACTGTTCGTAACAGTGTACCTTTGGACCATGTTGATTGATGTGTTGCATCTTTCTTTGTCAATCATCAAAACAACCTAAATCCCAACACACGGATTCTAACTCTAAATTAGTGTCTTTTCTTTGTACTCTCGAATCTGTTTGAAATTGGTTCCTCGTCTTTGCTTCTATCACCAGAACCTAGTTCTTTCTGTACTTTGTCAATCATCAAAACTGAAATGTTGAACTTTGACTTTCCATTGTGAACAATTATAACCTTGTTCTTGACGCGATGTTTTCTCCATACATCCAATTCAAACAAATGAAATGGTAAGTCGTATAATAATAATAATGAATCTTTTCTTAAAAATATGAAATATAATCATTTGTTGTTGATTACTCAACAAATACATCTGTGATAATTTCAGAATTTCAAGATTAGGCAATTTAAGAAACATGTTTACTCAATAAACTAACCTATTAAATTGTGTCATGTATATGATTGGTGACGGCGACTGAATTTTCATTAAAAATGTTTAAAATATGATAGATAAATACATGAAGAAGTCAAACGGAATTTAACATCCACTTTATATACAAAAAATAATAATTTTAATCATATATAAATAATGTCAGTGAATCTTACCTGGCTCCATCCCTAGATAGATAATTATGTGAAGAACCCTCATGTACCATAAAATGCACGAGATTTGTGATCTTTGTCATGAGAAAGTGACAAGTAGTACGTTAATAGCTTTATAGAAATGGAATTTCCAAATAGACCTCTCTTTTGTTACTATTTATGCGGGGTGAATTTTTTTGAAAAATGTTACTCTTTAGCCGTAGAAAATTCAAGCTCACCCATATGGGGTGTTTCATAGGCTCGTTAGGGTAATAAGCTAGCCCTAATAAGTTTTATATAAACACACATATGGTGTGTATTTCTAGATGAACAACAGACACAAAAAATATAATAGATATAGAGAATATAGCAATTCTACGCTTTGTTCTTTCCTCAATCAATTAGGGTTTAGATGGTGATATAGGAGGTTGCTCCAATATATTATGACAATTATCATTGATAAAAAAAAATTAATCACGGTTCATTCTATCGTTTCCGCTACGAGAAGAACAAATAAGTTTTCTTTTATGAATTACATATGTTATGTAATTAGTTTTAGATTAATGATAATATGCAACCTCACAATGGTATCAAGAAATATAGGTTGATTTTCTAGCTATACGTGAAAATATAGATCTATGTAAAAAAATTATTATTGATTTTAAATCTAAAATGTTTTCAGATTTCAAAGAGAATTTTTTTTTCAATTTCTGGAACATTTTTCAGATTTGGTTCTGAAAAAAAATTGTTTTTTCACATATCCAGAAGATCTGTTTCAAATTCTTTAGATCTATAATTTCAGGGATAACCAGAAAATCAACACATGACTCTTGATACCAATATAAGATTACACATCATAATTAATTTGAAATTCATTAGATAACATACGTAATTCATAAAAGAAAACTTTTGTAGAGAAAGTAGAAGAGTAGAATGAATCGCGGTTGAATTTTACTGATTGATGGTGATTGTCACAATATGTTGGAGTAATCCTCTCCTAATTGATTGAGGAGAGAATGAAATGTATGATTGTTATATTCTCTACATTTGTTGTATTTTATGTGCCTGTTGTTCGTCTATAGTTACACATCATATGTGTGCTTATATAGGACATATTAGGGTTAGCTTATTACCCTAATGGGCCTTTTGAAAAAGCCTTCCTTATGTATGGGCTACCCTTTTTAAAATTAGAAGAAAATAAGTTTATTTGAAAAATATATATCATAATATTTATGCTGATTAAATATGAGTAAAAAAAAATCTTCATGCCAAACATACTCTAATTAGTAGTATGCTTTTTAGTAGGCAGAATGATCTCGGAAATTTTTGTACATAGCTTTGTTTGTCACCTAGACCTAGGGTTGTTCATGATTATGGTTAAAAAACCAAATCGAACCGCAATTCGAACCAAACCAATTAAAACCGATATTTGGTTTGATTTGGTTTTAAGTTTTGAAAAACTGATAATTTGGTTCGGTTTTGATTTTACTAAAAAATAACTGCAAAAATAATCAAACCGAACCGATAAATTATATATATAAAATTTATAATTATTATATCATTCATAAATAAAATATAAATATTTTGTTAAATTTTAAGTAACCTAGGTCTTTAACTTTACCATTTTCTCAAGCCCAACACTTAAATTTTAGTCCATCTATTACAATCATAAGTCCAATTCTATCAAAATTCATTACTTTAGTCTTTACCTACCATACCTTTCATAAGATAGTTACACATTTTCTTAATTGAATCACTTTGTTCGTGTAATAATAACTTTAGTATTGTTTAATTGCTTAATTGAACTGACAATAGCTTTTCGATGGATTGCTCATGTTCTAGGTGTTTGTGTCTATCAAGATACGCATGTCCTCAAAAATTTATTACTTTCAAACCGAAAAAACCAGAAAAACTGAACCAAACCATCAATAACCAAACCGACAGTTATTTTTTTCGTTTGGTTTGGTTTGGTTTTAGATATTTAAAAAACCGACTAGATTGGTTTGATTTTGATTTTAATCAATAACCGATCCAAACCGAACCACGAACACCCCTACCTAGACCTTTCAACTCAAGTTTTAATCAACTGAACAGTTAAAGTTATTAATGTTATCTCTTATATAAAATTCAACAATTAAAACACATTATTTTAAACTCTTCTGATCATGTGTGCCTCTCAATCACGTTAATGTGGATAAAACATCACTATCTACATCAAATATAAATTGTCACATCGTTTTTTTTATTACAAATAATAATTTTTTTAAAAAAAATCTCAAACTCATCTCCAAAATCCTTTCTTTCTTCATTTCTTTCTAGTCTTTCTTTCTCCCATATCTTTCATCTATTTTGCTATTTAAATTTTATCTTATCATTTTTTTTCTTTCGTGGTAAATCTATTACATTGAAGAGGCACTAGAGATAAGTAAAGTTTTATTATGATATTTTATTGTAAATTTTGTTATTTTAATTGTGTTAGCAAGTGACTAAAATAGAGATGAGAGAAAGAAAAGAAGAAGAAGAAGAAGACAAGAAAAGGGGTCATTATGAAAGAACTCATCCAAAATGCTCTAGATAAAATTGAGTTCAATTTGAAAGAATCAAAAATATCTTTTTCATAAATCCATTTAAAATATGCATCTATTTCACACTCAAAAACCTTCTTTTATTTTCCCTTTTTTTTCACCCAAATCTAAATAAATATATTTTCCCCCTAATCATTTTAAAATTCTCAAATAATAGAAAGAATATGAGAAGAGATAGAGAAAGAATTGTGTGTAAGAGTATGAAAAGAGATAGAAGAAGTGTTGTGGTGATGGTGGGGGATGGGGGGAACTATGAGGAAGAAGAAGAAGAAGAAGAGGCTACAGTAGATCGATTAGGGATGGGAGTTTTTTAAATTTATTTTTTAATTGTTATATTTTTTTCAAATTAAAATACTCCCTCCGTCTTTTTTTATATTTCACATTTTTACTTTGCACTTGCATTAAGAAATGATGTAACTTTACCATTCTACCATTATTTAATGTTTTCTTAAGTCAACTTTATAATAAATGATGAATACATTTTCAAGATTAATTAACTATTCTATCAAGGGTATAATAGGCAAAATATGATAATTTATGCATAAATTTTATAAAATGACAAGTATTGTGGTCCAGCTATTTATAGAAAGAGATGACATATAAAAAGGGACGAAGGGAGTAATTATTTTCACTTGCCATTAAACGTGTGTAATCATGCTTTTTATCTGATTCATCAAAAAAATGTCACGTGTGTAATCATGTTTTTATCTAAGTAAAAGGATTTAAGTGACAAACGAAGTCGAATACAAGGGTCTTCCACGTCATTCCACCTTTTAAGTATTGATTTAACTTGGACTTTAAGTGATTATTTGAAAAGGATATGATTAGAGTATAAGTGCTAAAATAAATAATTGTGGTATTAATTACATTAATGTTTTTAATCCAACACATAATATATAATTTTATCTCTCATGCTCATAGCAGACACCCTCGTTTGTTTGAGAACAAGCTATCCTATGATAAGTTATCTTGGGATAAGTTAATCATCATATATATGAGATAACTTGTTTTATCATTATGATATATATGGTGAGATAAATAGTTTAAGGTATCTAATGCATCCAACTATACGCAAGATAAAATAATTCTGCATTTTGTAACATCAACATCCAACTCCACTTTTGCCCTTCCTCAATAAATTAAATTAGGAAAATTACGTAATTACACAACTTAAATAACATAATTTTTTTAAAATTTTACTATTTGAATTAATTACAAAAATCGTTTTTTTTCTTTCTCTTTTAACATTCGAATACATCACTTTACCTTTGTTAGATACATTACAACTTTGTTAGTGTACAATGTGTCTGATGCAAATTTTATTGTTGATAGATAACTCAATTATTTCAAACTTAAATCTGTATGAATCTGATTTATAGTTATGTATTTTGAAATAATTGGATTATATATCAGCAATAACATTTGTACCAGATACATTGTATACAACCAAGATTGCAATGTATCTAATAAAGGTGAAGTGATGTATCCGAATGTTAAAAGAGGTAAAATGAAAATAAAAAGGGATTTTCGTAATTAATTCAAATACTGTAGTAATTTTTTTTTAAAATTATGTTATTTAAGTCGTTTAATTACGTATTAGGGACTTGGGCGTTGATGGAGTTGGCGGTTAGTGGTGAGAGCGATATTATTATATTATATATAAATAGAGAATTCAAAGAGAGGCAGAGAAGTGTTTTATCTTCCTTAATTTTCTCTCTTTCCACCAATTCAGATCTGAGAGAGAGAAATTGTATTTTGAAGAAGAAGGAGAAGAAAGGGTAATTCAATAGAATTTTGGTTCCAATGTCGGTGGTATCGCCATTAGCAAAATATAAGCTGGTGTTTTTGGGAGATCAATCTGTGGGCAAAACCAGCATAATTACTCGCTTTATGTACGATAAATTCGACACCACTTATCAGGTATCTTTCTCCTTCTTCCAATGTAAGGAATTAGGAATCACTTGTCGATCGTTAATGGATGGACAGATTGATTGATTCCAAAATTATGAAATAAATTAGTGTTGGTTACGGCTTTATTTGTTTTCTATTACGCAGGCTACCATTGGTATTGATTTTTTATCAAAGACAATGTACCTTGAAGATCGAACAGTTCGCCTGCAGCTCTGGTTAGGCTTCATTTTCGAAACTAATATTGTCATTTTATTTGTTTTCAAGTTATCAGTAGGATGTACTTGACAAAATGTGAAAGAGACTTGATAGTTATAAAGTTTTCAAATGCACATCTATGTAGTGGAAAACAGATTTGGGGAAAATATAGTCGAGATTGGACAATCACAAACCAGTCTCTGTTAACATTCCGCTGTGGTTTTGGTCAATGGACATTGAACAATGAATTCGTTTCTAATGCACTATGCAGGGATACTGCTGGTCAAGAAAGATTTAGAAGTCTTATTCCAAGCTATATTAGAGATTCTTCTGTTGCTGTAATTGTATATGATGTTGCCAGTAAGTGATTGCTTGATATTCTTCCCACAGAATGTTTCTACACATATCTGTGCCTAACTCAAGAAAATTTATATTTGGTGATAGTACAAGGTTCCTACGGAGTCTAAAGTAATTGGTTCTCTATATTCATTTCTTTGGTTTAATGTTTAATGAACAAAGTTTTGGTGATAAATCATTATATCTGCAGACCGCCAATCATTTCTGAACACTTCAAAATGGATCGAAGAAGTACGCACTGAACGAGGCAGTGATGTCATTATTGTTCTTGTTGGAAACAAAACTGATCTTGTTGAGAAAAGGTAGGGTGTGGATGGATCTTTTCTGTTTGACAACTTCTTTACCTACTACTCATGCATCGATGTACTTATTAGATGTTATTTTCCTCCGGATTCTGTGTATGATTAAATGTTTACCACCTATCAATTCCTCTTTTCATTTCTGGTCGGGACCTCGTAAAATTAGTTGTATATAGTTGAGATTTAAACCAGACCTAAAACTCTGTCAGAATCTAGCATGGATTTGCATAAATGTAATATATATTTCACTTTTCAATATGTTATGTAAGAGAGTTATGGTTATGATTTTTTTCACTCGAGTAGAGGTTTCCGTAGTTGGTAAATTGACATTTGATGGGAATTTGTCTGAGTACCTAGTCTTTAGTGATGAGACACTGCTCCAACTAAAATGTTCAGTTTTCTAAAGTAAATAGTAGTAGATTGATGTAGATCTGGATCTCTTGCTATGTCCTTCTCTGGTCCAATTTCTTTCCACAGAAGAAAAGAAGAAAAAAGTTTCTGTAAGAGATTATCAAGAAGAGGAAATTGCATTTTAATTCCTGTAGACTATGGTTTATTTGCTCCACCATTTCTCTTACGGAAATGATACTGATTTAAACAGGCAAGTTTCCACAGAAGAGGGAGATGCTAAATCTCGTGAATTTGGAGTAATGTATGTAGAAACCAGTGCTAAAGCTGGATTCAATATCAAGGTACAGAGACACTCAAGTCCTTTCTGCGATCTCCATTGAAATTACTTTGCCCCTTAGTCAAGTTATACTGAGGATCAAATATCCTGATCACTAGATTTTGCTCAAAATATTTGAGTTGGCATAACTTCTTTTCGTACTTGAATAGCATGATACTAAGAATATGAAATTGAAAATTGCAGCCTCTGTTCCGAAAGATTGCTGCAGCCTTACCGGGAATGGAAACACTTTCATCCACAAAACAGGAAGATATGGTTGACGTTAATTTGAAGCCTACAACAAATACATCCCAATCAGAGCAGCAAGGTGGAGGTTGTGCATGTTAGATTTGTACTTGAAGAGGAGGAAGAGTAAGACAGAAGTTTGAAACACACAAAGACACAGTTGCATCCAGTTATTAGGGTGTTCACAATTAGCAAATTTCTTAGTTTATGAGGTTTGCAACATGGATTTTTCTTCATGATGTGCAACAATATGTTAGACTTCATCAAGGAGGTAGCTGATTACAGGCTTCTACGAAACTTGTTGTGTTTATATGTGATGGTTCCTAACTAGTTCAGAAACCATTTATACCGGATCAATCTCCTAGTTGAATATATAATGAGATGCCATACGTATTTCACATTCATTTTAGTTTGTTGCACCACCAATAGTTTATAGATACACCAATTACTTACAAGTTACAGGGTGTTCTTTTTCATTGTCAAAGTTCTGATAACACCTGCATGTTATTTATACACACACTCATGAGGTGCAGTTTTTGAATCTAACGACAAATCTTCATAATCAATTCACGCCAGGTTCCTTATGCATTACTTTGCTGCTGCCATCATACAACAGATTCATAGAACTATCTTTTCTTCCTTTCCTTACCTCTTTGGGCTGAAGTTGGGGTTGGGGTGGAACTGTGGAAGTGAGAGGTAAACTTCTGTTTTTTTGGGGGATTCAGGTTAGCTTGCGTGCATCTTGTCTAACATCACGATTCACGGGATATCTATCACCTCTCACTAGCATCACAATCCTCGCAATTTAGATGTACTTAATGTATATACCAACATGATAGTATAATCAAAGATTGAGCCAAGTTTAATTAGTTGACAAGCAGTGCGATTGTGCTCAACATTGATCATCGCCTAAGAAATAATTTAGAGTAGCTTAGATTCACTTTACAAACCTCAAATGTGCACTGGGTGGCAGGAGAAAAGCAAACTCTGCTTATGCTATTACTTATTACACAAGGTTATGTTGTGAGAGACATAATCGGGGGTCATACGAAAATCAATAATTGCACATTATGGTGATGATAAATCGAGAACAAAGAAAACTATAATAAAGAAACATAATATTTTGATATAATTTGACCAATTGGCTTATCTATGAGAAAATCAGTAGAAAAAAGTTAAAAAATATTGAGATAACAAAAACTCATTAAACAACTACATGGTGGATATTATTGTATTCTTGAAAAAAAATTCAGCTCAAAAGAAACATTGTTGAATTGGAAAAAAAGTTCTCTTAGACAAAAATCGTTAATTAGGATGGGAATATTCAACAAAAAGAAGGAAGTTAGAAAGGAAAAGAAAGATTTTGGAAAGGATAACTTAGATAGGAATAATACTTATTGAATTGGACTAATTTTGGGTTCATTTGGATTGATTACAAATGACTTAAAGGTCATTATAATTGAACAAAAGCGAGTCTGAATGGGTATACTTAGTCGTGGAGCATTCCGAGTCTTTGCTTTAGGGATCGTTCCTGCGCATCTCATATAACGGAGCAACCAGCCCCCTTCAACATCTCTCATAATGTGTTCTACGCTGTTGAAAGCTAGATCCACATGAGGTGTGTAATGCATAGCTAAAAAAACGCCAGTCACTATCTGAATGACTAAACAAATACCCGCTAACGAACCGAACCCCCGGAATGTGTACGAGATACCATAAGGGCCCAATATCTCAATAGCACCTTTGTCTAAAGCTTCGAAGGAGACTTCATATCCGAAACGTCATCCCTATTTATAGTAACAAATGGTCAATTAACATGCGTTTTCATCTCATGATTTCAAATCATGAGATGAAATCTCAAGTTCTCCAAAAAGCTTGATTTGAGAATTTCATATCATGATTTTATATTTTTCAAATACAAAAATTAACCTACAAGTTTATATTTTGTATAAAGTATCCCACCATTTATCTACATCATATTTTGCGAGAATATCCTAGGAGTGATGAAATATTCACGGAGTATGAACATGATGATATAGTTACTAGTGATATTGACCATGTTCAATTTTATTAAAGAGTAGTACACTATAACTCATGTTCAGTTTTACTTTTTTATTGAGCTTAGTTCAATCAATAAATGTTGTATTTTTTTAAGAATAGCTTTGAGATCATGTATTACACTTGTGTTATCAACTTTTGCTTTTTTGGTAAGATTGTATAAAAGAATTGGTGCAATTTTGATAATTTTCAAAACTTATGTGGCTTTTATGTTTATGAGCAAAAAATACAATTTAAAAATCCAAATTATATCTCGAAACAAAAATTCAACTTGAATATTTTGAACTTTTTTAAGGGAAGCTTCTAGAATGACCCATTGTAGTATTTTGGATACTTATTTTACGGATTCGTTTGACCGTGTGGGGTAAAATTATGATATGAAGTTATATGAAATGAAAAATAGTTTAGTGAGGAAAAATATGTAACAATTTGAGGAATCAAATTCCCACTCCCAGGAGTAGTTAATGGAACATGAAAATAATGACTAAAACTTACATAAATACAGGTCCACTGTTGATCTGCCTAGTTAGAACAAGGGGTTTTCCATAAATAATTTTAAAAAAAACATTTAGCAACCAGGCATCTATATATCAAGAAACATTTTTGTGGTTCAAAGTTATTACTCATGTGTCATCTTCCACCAGACAACTCAACAGCATCATGATTAAACATTGTATCTTCTCCCCAATCAAATCGTCTCTGGAGTCTCTCGTATTCTTGTCTACGGTTGACTTCAACGTGTTGCCACTCTTCCCATCTCTCAGCAAGCCCTTCTCCTTCCAGCATCCTAACCACGTCCGACATTGCTGGACGGTCCTCTGGTGATGCCTGAGTGCACAGCAATGCCACCTGAATCATCATCTCCACTTCATCCAGCTCATAGTTCTTATTCAGGTTACGGTCTACAATTGCATCCAGTCTTTTATCCCTTTGCAGTTTTCTGACCTTCAAGACGATCTCTTTTTAGCAACTATTACTACATAAAGGTCCTATGAAGCTTAAAGAATAATCATGTAAAGTTATAAGAGAGGCTCAGGGTCCACATATCCACACTTTTGAAAGAGAGAAAAAATTAGCATCAAATATATATAGTCATCATATTTCTTGTGCCTAAAAGGCTCAATATTAAGACCTAGCTCATATTCAAAGCATTTGTACCCTGGTGCCACGCGAAAAATAATAATTGTTTACACCATTTCAATTATCATAGAAAAATTGCAGCAGTTTCACCAATAGGAGAAAGATAAACGAATGTATATCCATCCAAGAGGCTCTCATGCAATGAGTCGTCCCAATAGAATATGGAGAGAAACAAAGATTGGTCAGTAGAGATAAGATATATGAAAAGTTTGATGCAATAATTTGATGCCCATTTGAAAATATATGAAGATCATTGAGTTAAGTACACTCACATGGTCAAGCAACAAGACATCATCTTCATCTTCTAGGCGTGAGAAGTCTATTGCACGTTGGCCGGTTACAATTTCCAAAAGCATGATTCCATAGCCAAAAACATCAGTTTTTTCTGATGATTTGCCAGTGGATAAGTATTCAGGAGCTATATGGCCCATTGTACCACGAACTTGAGTTGTCACATTGGTTTTCTTAACGTCAACTAGCTTTGCCAGGCCAAAATCACCAACTACAGCTTCAAAATCTTCATCTAGTAACACATTAGCTGCTTTAACATCACGGTGAATAATCTTTGGGTTACAGTGTTCATGTAGGTATTCAAGTCCACGTGCAGTACCCACTGCCACACGCTTCCTAGTTGGCCAATTCAAAACAGGCTCCCCAGGTTTAAGTTCTGTAAGTGATTAAAAATTTAATTAGACACCACTGAAAACTAATAACAGACACATCAACTCTAGCAGAAAACTGCTGAAATCTTAAGCTGCACTAACTACTTCATGTAACACCTTCTAGTTCAAGCCAGGATCACAAGAATCAATTTATGAAGTCACATAGCTCTTTCATATCACGATCTGTGATACCAACTTAACGCACATACATCTTTTAATGATTTTAAAAAAAAACTGAATACATCTATTAATGATTAATGAGGTATGATTTGAGTATTGCTCTTGATTTGACCAAAGAAAATTGCAATCTCCGAACACTCAACCCCTTCAATGAATATCAGAAAATACTTCTACAGAACCCTTAAATCTGCTCAGAACTTGTCTTTCCCTACCATATTCTGGGAGAAAAAAGGAAGCATACAAATTGTACTCATGGTGATGCAACCCTAAGGCATTAAACTTCTAGCACTTCATTCAAAGTTGAAAGAATAAGATTCTTTTTTGAGAAGGAAAAAGAATAAGATTCTGAAGCATGAAAACACAAATTAAAGGGTTTATGCTTCTGCCAATTAAGCTACACACATTAGCTCTATAAACATGCCCCTCGAGCTTGATGCCATGTACAAGTTCTTTTACCGGATCAGCAGTTCTACAGTACTTTAATAGTCAATTTAGACCGTACAATGACAAATGCACGCTTTCTTCGCAGATCGAACGGGGAAATGACTCGTGATCGTTTACAACCAAGCTGACAAAATCAAAATATGCGCCACAGGAAATGTAAGACTAATGAAATGAAGGATCTATTGATTGGGATAAAATAAATTAGATGAAACAGGCACAGTAAGGGAAAATAGCATACTCAGGATGTAAAAGAAACTACAATGAATAAAAGCAATGCTATGAAGAAACAATACCTCGTAGACGATAAGCAACACTTAGATTCTGCATATATGGGTATACTAGCAGGCGTTCAGTCGGTGTGGTGCAAAATCCTATAAGCCGTAAGAGATTCCTATGAACAGCCACACTTATCATCTCAACTTCTCGCTGAAATGCAGCATCTCCCCCAGGACTCTCATAATCAGTTAGCCGTTTCACGGCAACTTTAATGCCGTCATTGAACACTCCTTTATAGACCTTGCCGAAACCCCCCTGTCCAAGAACATTCTTTTCACTGAAGTTATCAGTAGCAAGCTGCAATTCCCTCCATGAAAATCTCCTCAATTGACCAAATGGAATTCGTCGATCAACCTCACCTGAGTGCGCCAAATAAAACATAAAATATAATATCATAATATACTCAAAGGAATCATACCATCTTGAAGGTAAATGAAAACTAAGTACTGGTGTATAAAGAATGAGGTCACTAACTTAAGATGGAATTACAAGATACAACAATGCATGGCCAGAATATCTTCTTCCCTTACGAAGAATAACAAGTACATTAAACTGATGAAATTATTGTCAAAAATATGTGACACAAACCTACAACGTCAACAAAGACTTCACGACTATAGCCTTTGTGCCGTCTCCTACAGAAC